TCTGTCTTCTACCAACTTTCCAGCCTCATCAACTTTTACTCTTGGTTCCAATAAAGCTACAATATATATGCTATTCTTATTTACTACTAACTGTACTGCCTTATTTTTATTCGAGGCATTGAAACCCCAGGTATTGCAGGAGAAACACTTCATCTATGCTTACCACCCCTATCCCCTTTCCTCTCGGCAGGAACAACAATAGGATTTCTCTGCTTTTTTGCCTGACTACTCACTGTGCTCCATGGTTTTTTTCCCTGAGTTTCCAAATCAGGAGCAGCAGCTATGGGAGGTTGTCTCCCAAATTCTGATGAACTAACTCCCAAGGCTCGTTGAAGAGGAACTTCCGGGGTTCCAGTTGTTACTAACGATCCCTTGACTACCTCAACAAAACTCACAACCTGAGCTTCATTTTCTGGGAGAGGGACCTCAGTAGAAATCACAGTACCAGAATTTAGACATTTCACATCATGTTGTCCTAAAGGAGCAATATCTTCTACAACTACTTCACTAAGCAAGATCTCTTTACCTTTACTTATTTTCGGACCATTAATCTCCGCCTCTGCATTTTCAATTTCTTCCACATGCCTAATCTTAGGAATCCACCTCTTGCCATTGTACTCAATTCTAGTACAACTATGCCCATAAATCTCACAATCGAGACAAACAAGAGGTATATTAAGGTACTCCACTTAAATATTAAAGGAGGGATCATCGTCTGGATACAACCTGACTTTCTCTGGTAATCCACAATCAGCAGCCAGATTGACACAAACCTTAGCAAACCCAAGCTGATTACCCTTCCTTGTCGTCTGGTCCATCCAAACTGGGGGGTCCAATTGTACTGGCCACCTGTTCCATCACTTCAAATGAATGGTAGTCTAAAGGAATACCCCAAATTCGAACCCAAATAGGGAGCACCTCAATGATTGGGGCCACTAGTTGAATCCCTGGCTACCATTTTTTTGAAGAAAATTTGGTTTCCATGGAAGTGCCATTGCCCAGACTAGAATACCCATAAGCTAGTCGTTATTGACGGAAATTGAAACACAAGAAGACGTGGATCGAAATGAGAGAATCTCACCGAATCATCTTTACCCCATAAACCTGTCACCCACGGCTAGAGAAGCCCGATCTTGGGGAGAGAACCTATAAACTGCCCAATCAAGCAATCCTTCCACATTTCCTCACCCATCTTCTTGACCTCGCCGGGTAGCCAAAATCCATTCTTGATCTTTTCCGAAGGGCGATATCGCATCTTGTTGGCAGGAGCAACATCAAAAATTGATGCCCAAGTCACCGCTTCCCCCATCGGAGCAGTTGTCGACGTAGAGGCCGCCATGGCGGCAGAAGAAACCCTAACCAGGAGCTCTGATCGCGAAGTGAAAGAAGAGAGAGAAGAGAGCGTTTTTATTGCTTACTAAATTTGTAGGTTCGCTTCCTCTCCATCCCTTTGATTTGTATTTTTTTCTTTTATCGGTCCGATCGATTCGAAGGAATCTAGATTTAATCTGATGTGGGTTTTTGGTAAAGATTTTCATCAAAAGCCCCCACTGCCTCCACAAGGGAGAGCAGAAGATGCAAAATCTGTGTATGGTGCTTCACCTGTGCAAATCAAATTCAACTCGACACATGAATGATGGGATGGGATTAGGTGCTAATCCTTATAGGGGTTAGCACCGTGATAACTAGCAAAAAACGCTACTAAAAACAACGAAATCACTACGGATTATTATAAAATCAATACAACATCTAAGCTAAATCACTACTAACCCTTGGTTAGGACGGTGCTAACTCTTGTACAATTAGCACCGTAACTCCGCCCATGATGATTAACTAAATAAGCCAACGCAGAATCTCATAAAGCTAAGAGATGTGATACAGTAGACTGCCAACAGCTGTCACACAACATGAATGATATTGCTAATTTTGCAGTCTCAAGTTTGTCTGAAGCAAATGGTAGTAACTAACAATTTCTCATATGAATGGTTAATTTAGCTTTTGACAAGTCGGCCAGGATACAAGAAATTGATTGTCATTTTTGTCTTTCGTGTAAATGATATGATCTAGGGATTAAAAATTATTTTATTTAGCTTTTGACAAGTCGATATCAAACATGTATTTTTTTCGATTTGGTCCCATCTAATTCTACTTTTTTCCATATTTTCTTCATACTTTAAATAATATATAAAATAAAAAATCAAATCGAATCGAATTATATTTGGTGCAATCCGATTCGATCCAAATATCATTCTCATTTGATCAGACCTGTTGTGAACTAAATCGTTGTCCACCCCTACAATGTTTTGCCATCAAGCAAGCCTGACTTATCAACTGCTAAACCGAACTTAGCCTAGGAAGTTCATCGAATTATTAACCCCAAATGGCACAAATTCAATGGAAGAATCTAGATGGAGCTTAGTATATATGAATCAAAGTATTAGTTGTATTTCATTACTAGTCGTATTATATTTGTCATCTTCCAGTTACTTGATAAGAATATTTTTCATAGTTTACAACTTGGTTAGATAATTTGGAACGAAATGTGGAGAAATCACTCTTAATATGGAGAAAGAATACATACAATACATAATTATCAAAATTTTCCGGTCAATTGGCCTGATCCGGTGCTAGTTCAATTAAGGAAGCAATAATAATTAATTAAAAAACTTCAGTTACAACAAGCGTTCATCCCCCACCGTAGGAGACCTCAAACACCGACAGTTTATCTCCCACCGTCGCCGCCTCAGGGTCACCGACGCCGCATCAGGGTCACTGCCACATTTCTTATCTTTACTATGCGCCGATGTATCCCTAGAAGCCCGACTAGGGGTGGAGGTTCAGTTGTCAGTTAAGGGTTAACCGGCCGGTTAAACTGATAACCATCGGGTAACAATTAACCGATAACCAAGCCCCCTCCCAATTCTTTGGTTGGTGGTCGAAACGTTTAATGGGAGCTTCGATTAACCGGCTAACCGACCGATTGATAAGCAAAGCCAAAATGACCCCATTTACACCAAAAATGACGCTATTTTGTCAACTTTCTAAAACTACACCAGCCCAACCCCAATCATATTATCCTTCGTCGACCCTCATTCCCTGCCTCAGCCCCTATCCGTGACTGGAAACCTCCTCTGCTAGCTCCCCGACGGTCGCGTTCCCCCATCGATCACCATCTCCCTGCGACCCGCGGGCCATGGTGACCCTCCTCGACCTTGCGCAACCCTCTAGCGACCCTCCCGCGAAGCCGGCTTCCGCTGACTCTAGGATCCAACAACCACCGTCCACCTCCGAGACTTCCCTTGTTGGCTCCAGCAACCACCTCAGTGAGACCTCCCCTGCCATCTCCCTCCCCCGCCACCCCCGCCAACTCCAAGTCGCCAACCGCCTAAGCCACCCCCGTCAACTCCAAGTCGCCGAGTCTCCGTCCCATTGTTTTTAGTTTGTAATTGACTTGTAATGTAAGTTTTTTTTATTGATAATGGGAATTGATGATGATTGAATCAGAATGATGATGATTTTAGATGTAAGTTTGCAAAAATTATTATTGTGTTTGTGACGTTGTGTGAGTAATGAGTTGATGATGATTCTGAATTTCAGATGATTAATTGATGTTGTGGGAGTTGTGGGAGTTGATCATGAGTGATTAATTGAAGTTGTAATGTACTAATGTAAGTTGATGATACTTGTTAGAATATGTAGTTGTTTCAATTGAGTTTCAATTTCTCAATTTATGTAATTGTTTTTGTAGGGCGAGACCTCCGGCTCCTCGTGGTGGACGTGGCGGATGAGGTGCCCCTACTGCTACAACTGCTCCTCATGGTGGGAGACCTCCAGCTCCTCGAGGTCGTGGTGGTGCGGGTGTCACAGTCCCCTGCTCAGACCTGGGGTCATGGTGGGCGTTCAGGAAGTCGATCTGTTAAGCTGCTGAACCAGCCCCTGTCGATAGTGGAAGTACACCTATTGAGACTCCATATGTTGACACAGATGCTACTATTACAGAGAAAGATAAAGGAGACACATTTGACTTAAAGAAATGGATGCTGGCGGAGGGTAGGGGTGGGCATCGGTACGGTTCGGACCGCACCGCATTTTTATAAACCGCACCGAACCGCATTTATGTAAACCGCACCGCATCTTTGACCGCGAAGTTATCGGTGCGGTCAAACCAAACCGCATAAATTAACGGTTTGGTATGGTTTAGACCGCACCGCATTTTGACCGCAAATGACAGTAAAACGATGTGAAAAACGCGATTTGAATGTACCTCTGCTTCCGACCATCATTCTCCGGCGGCTCAAACTATTCTCCGACGGACCCTGTCGTTCAACACACGCCTCTTCCTGTGGGAAAAAAAATCGGAAATTGTAAGGTAGCAACAACAAGTTGGCCGGCAGCAGCTGGGATGATCGATGGTGGAACGAATAGCAGCTGACCGCTTGCATTCAACAACGACCTTGCCTTTACCTTTTTCCGCTGCTGAGTCAACAGAATATTATCAGACTGCTTGGAGGATTACACGCAATATCTCACACTTCAAATACTATAAAAAAATTTATCATTGCATAAACAACAACAAACATTGAGTACAATACTATGTCCCATCATGAGTTGTATAGATTATTTTCCAAACAAACAAACTAAGCCAAATAAACAAGTGGCCGTGTAAAACACTTAGTAAGAACACTCTGGCTTCCTATCATCATAATCAGATAGATCAAAGGTGTTCCAAGACCAGTTCAATATCCATGTCTGTATAGCATGGAATGCCTGAATGAACAGCACCACCAGTTGCTTTAAATAGTTGATAATTATCTTCCAATGATATCATCCTGCTTAGCACACGAGCAAGACCAAAACAGAGCATATGCTCAACAAAGCTCTTCTTTACAAAGATTAATAAAAACTAAGTTAAGCTGATGCAAACAAAGCATATACTTGTCAATGCCATTCAAAAGTTCCAACTATAAACTAAGTTAAGCTGCTTAAATGATGTCAGCAGCTTAAACTTGTGCATTCCTTCTGCAATTCTGCAACAGAGGAGCTTTCTCTGTGGACTGATCAGTGTCCTGCTGCTGGCTGCAGCAATCATCCTCATGAGCTTTCCCCCACATCACAGCGTAGAATCCAATCGAGAGCACCACTGCCCCAATCACACTGCCCAAAAATAATAACAGTACATTTTGGAAAGCCTTTAGAATTGTTCATAACATATGGTTCAGAATCAAAGATGTACTAAGTTTCCAATTGCTTACCTTCCTACATAAAGCGTGTCACCCAAGAATGATCAGGTTCAAATGTTACCTTATATGTTTGCGCTTGCCTCTACATTAGGACTCATACGAGGAGTATGGATACGGGGAAGTGGAACATCAGATATACCAATAGCCTTCATAATCATGCTCAAATCTGAAATTCATAAGAAGACAGTTTAATCACTACATAAAACGAACATGGTACATAAACAATAGCTATTTTTAGGTTACTCACCTTCATCGATATTGTCAATCTCCTCTGGATCTTCTTCAACTAACACACTAGATTCTGCCCGGAGCCAATCCTGAGTACAAATCAGAGCCTCAACAATCCTAGGAGTCAAAGAGCTCCTGAAATCATTCAGCACCCTACCTCCAGTGCTAAAAGCTGCTTCAGATGAAACCGTAGAAACCGGGACAGCCAATACATCCCTTTCCATCCGAGACAAAGTTGGAAACCTATGGCTGTTTACTTTCCACCATCCTAACACATTAAACTTGGCATCCGTTGATTTTTCAACAGCCTCCTTCAAATACCTATCCAACTCGGTATTGTTCACTACACCTCTTTCCTTTTGCATTTGTTTCATATACTAGGCAACTAAATCCACATTCCCACCATTATCATCTACTTCTGTTTGAGAGGAGGAATCTTCACCTACTTCCATTTGATTCTCATAATGAGCATATAACTCATAAGTAGCAAGCTCAACGTCTTTTGTCAAATCAGAAATTGCTTTCTCATCATCATACATCCACTTGAGTGTGAAACCAATAAACTGTAACTTTAGCCTTGGATCTAACACAGCAACAATGTACAAAAGCTTGTTCATCTTATCTACAGCTCCCCAATATTTATCATATTTTTGTTTCATCTTTTTTGCCATGAAGCTTAATTGGTAATCCTTCTTGTCTGGAATTACCCAATTCCTCAACAAATTGTATAAGTTCCCAACTTCAGGAAGGAATAAATTGGAGGTGATATACTGTGAACCTGAAACTTTTAAGGTGAACTGATAAAACTGTTCTAAGAACTTCATCATTCTTCTAGCACTATCCCAATCACAGCTATAAGGTACTCCACTCTTCATTTCAAGTTCATTTTGAAATTGCTTGTCTGACATTCGATAAAGATTAAAAGCATGCTCATGCTTTACAGCAGATTGCAACATCAAAAAGGTTGAATTCCATCTCGTTGGAACGTCAAGACACAGCCCACTCTTGCTCGTATTATCAAGAGCAACAAAATTATTAAACTTCTGAATTCTTGCAGGTGAATGCCTAACAAATCTCACCGCCTCTCTGATTCTTGTTACAGCCACAGATATCTCAGATAATCCATCCATCACAACAAGATTCATTATATGAGCCACACACCTAACGTGAAGAAATTTGCCATCACACATGCCAATCTTTCTATCATCAAATATGCTTTTCAATTCTTCTATTGCAGTATCGTTCGAACTAGCGTTGTCAACAGTGATTGTGAAAATCTTATCTATCCCCCATTCATCCAAACAAGACATAACTGCACTTGCAATATCCACCCCCTTATGACTAAAGATTTGGCGAAAACCAATTATCCTTTTCCTTAATATCCAATTTCTATCAATAAAATGAGCTGTCACACACATGAAGTTCAATTGTTTGTTTGAAGTCCATGAATCTATAGTTAAACAAACTCTACCTTCACAGTTGCTAAAGACATCCTTCAACTTTTGTTTCAACTCAAGATAAAAATCCCAACAATCCCTAGTCACTGTTCTTCTAGAGGGTATAGAAAATCTAGGACAAGCAAGTGACATAAAGTATTTGAAACCCAAGTATTCAACAAATCTGAAAGGCAATTCATCCACAACGATCATATAAGTCAATCCTTTCCTTATAGCTGCTTGATCAAACTTCCAACTGCCTAACATAGATTCATCCCCCTCACCTAGTTCAGCTCTAAGAGTATTCAATAGTTGTTGAGCAGTACCTTTTCCATCACCGCACGGTTTACTCATATGATGGCGGAGTGCACTAGTTCCATTGTTACGTGATTTAGATGCATAAGTCTTCCCGCATTTGATGCATGATGACTTAAATAAACCGTCCTTCTTATACCTTCTGAATTGGACCCAAACTTTTGATGTAAGCCTCCTCCCTTTTGGCATTGGTGAATTAATGTGAGTCGAAGCTGAACCAGTATGATCACTAGCAGCCACCTTGCTCGTACTTGCATCCATTTCGACTTCCATCTCTTCCCCACTTGAGGAATCCATTCCAATATCATCACACTCAGCCTAAAACAATAAAAGAGCAAATGAGAACAAGAAGATGGCAATATAATCTTATCTATATATATATATATGTTTGTCTGTGCAGAAATAAAATAACGAAACTGCAAAAGCAGACTTGTCCAAAGCATACTGGGTTGGCTTAAAAATCAAACTCAATTTCGTGTCATTAACTAGTTAGATGAACTCTACACCTGCTTTGAAGAAAGGGATAAATAAGATGGCTGATGGAGGGATTTCAAACGTGTCATCAATCACCCATTAATCCATTTCAAAGATTAGCTGGGGTTAACTACAGGCTATATCCATCACCCACCATTACGTTATAACTAACAACTCTTACAATGCTAGAGGTTTGTTTTCAAAAAGAAGCAATTGAAAGGAGCAGAAGACAGTATAGGAACTAGGACAAAATGCAGTTAGAGTCTTATTTCAAAACCTAAAAAAGGTTTCCCTTTTGATCAAAGTGATGAAAATTTACTAATCAGTTAGGAACTAAAGGTAACAGAAAGGATTCAAGGAGCTAGAGATCCATCAGCAGTGTGATAACTGCGTACCAAGACAGACAAAAAGAAGAAACAAATGAAAACAGGACAAAAGCAAATCGCGGTGAATTGCATCATTAAATAAGAGGGACAACTACACTACACATCGGGAGGGCTATAAAACAGCAGCACCCACCATGCTGCAGAATGCAGCCAGCGAATACTAATGCTTAATCATAGAACATAAATTCACTATGGAATAAGGGTACCAGTCAAGCTATCTGTTCCTAATTGTTACTTGACCTCCGAAGTCCGGACTCTACTATAACTGAGGGTAAATTCTTGCTTAACTAATCAACCAAAAGTTATCAGCAAATAACCACCCATCCTTCTTCGTTATCTGCAGAATCAGGCTAAAAAACAATGGCTTAATGTTTAATCTGACCTTGTCATCAATGTCTGTGAAGTTTCTCACGTAGGTAAACAATGTGACTGGAAAGAGTACTACCAAAGGGGAAATTTCATGAAACGGGGTAAGAACTCATTGCTTCAAAGCGGCATTATTATCGAATAAGAATGCATTCATTCATTCTAACAAATGTTGTTGGAGAAAGAGAGAGAGAGAGAGAGAGAGAGAGAGAGAGAGAGAGAGCAGCAGTACGTCCTTCTCACCTCACTAACACTAAGCACATTGCTGCTGGGTATCGGTGCTCGAGCTCGTTTTCCCTGTGAGCCTTTAGATTTCATCTTTCCAATAACAGTATCTTCTGTTTCCCTATTGCTTGATATCGAATTCACAGATTCATTACAGCCCTACAAGCATATGAAAGAAAACGGTTAGAATATTGTGACAGGTAAAACTATAAACATAATTACATATTATGATCTAAAAGCAAATCCCATCTAACCCTCCCCAGGATATTTGTTGATACAGTCCAGAAATTGGGGAAGCAGCTACTACTCCTAAACATATATATGCAGTCCAGAAATTGGGGAAGTAGCTACAGTCCAGAAATTGTTGATACCATCGGAAACCAACTAAACAAGCGCCCTTAAAACTAAAATCCCTAATCCCGAAAGAATATTGGAGCCGAGTTTCTGGGTATCAAGCAGGGATCATCATCATCATCAAGTAGTAAGAGCAACTGAGCAAGATTGCTTTTCCTAAGCTGACGCATCTGTAGTTTAACATGTTCGTGGGAGGATAGGGATGGGTATTCATGATTGAGTCCCATCAGAAACTGAGTGTTCTCCCCAATCACCACCAACCAATCCGTCGCCGAAGAGATCCGACGGGATAAAGAAGCATGTCTCGCCGTCGCCGGTAAGAAATTTGATGCTCCGGCTGCCTACCTTGCTCGAGCAGGCCTCTCCGTCGCCGTGCTGGAGATTTCGGGTACGGTAACAACAACCCTAGATCCACAATATGAAGGATATGAAGAGGGAGGGTGAGGGTACCCAGAACGACGGTGTGAGCTGGATGCGGAGGCCGGCGGAGGTGCGAATCTGGATTTTAGGTCAGGGGAAGCGTCGTCGGCGTCGATCTATGAAGCTCGGGATCTCTCGTCTCTTGGTGTTGTGCAACGTCGAGAGGAACAGAAAAATCGCTAGGTATGGATGAGGAAGAAGAATCGCCGCCGGGTATAGTGCGGATCTGGCGGCCGACGGGGACTGGATGGGGAAGAAGAATCACCGCCGGGAGGATAGTGGTTTGCGGTGAGGAAGAAAATCTCTGCAAAGCTATCGTGTGTTGGTGGTGGACGACATTCACTAAGAATTAGCGGTTTGCGGTTTTGAACCGTAACCGTGTGGTTTCGGTCAATCCAAACCACGAACCACTAATAACTAAATGGTTAGTCCGTAAACGAAACCGATAGTTAACGGTACGGTTTGGATTGACCGTTGGAGCGGTTAGGAGTGGTTTGGTCAAACCAATGCCCACCCCTAGGGGAGGGTAAGGCTGATTGCTGGAAGGTGTTTAAGAAGGGGGTTGTTGACGAGTATCCGATGGGAGAGTGCATACATTGTCATACTCAAACCAAAGCTCATCCTTCCAAAATGGGACCACTGCAATGAATAACCACTGCATACGAGTATTCAGAATATAAAAAAATCAAAACCAAAATAAAAATTTATAAACAAACTCAAGGAATGAAAAAAAACATACCAAAACAAAGTACACACTCTGATCATCGTCGCCGTTAGAGAAGCTCGGACTGCAGACGACAAGTCCTTTCTCGCTTTTTTCCACCTCCACCAAAATAAAAATATATAAACAAACTCGAGGAATGAAAAAAAATACCAAAACAAATTGCACCCTCTGATCATCGTCGCCGTTAGAGAAGCTCGGACTGCAGACGACAAGTCCTTTCTCCCTTTCTTCCACCTCCACCAAAATAAAAATTAAACATATCATAACTCTTAAAATCCCTAAACATAGAATCAATTCACCCAAAAAAATTCTTGCGGAATTTCATATACGACTGGTACCTTATTCACGAATGAATGCTTGCTCTCACCGGTGTATTTTCCTTGTCGTCACCGGCAAACAAGTTCGGACTGGCGGCGAGAGGTCCTTTCCCCCTTACTTCCACTTTCACTTCCACCTCCACCAAAATCAAAAAACATATTGCGGTGGCCTGGTGAACGGAGATAAAGGACACAACGCTGGCTCCAGTTGACTTCAGCAATGGCTTGGTGAACATAGGTGGTTTAGGATTGCATGCAGCATCATTGGTGTATTGTGCATAGTGACGGTGGTGGGACTGGGAGAGCAATTCTGATGGCGAGACTCAGTGTTGGCTCCGGTTGACTTTAGTTGTGGCCTGGTGAACAGAGGTGGTTTAGCCTTGCATGTATCGGCACTAATGTGCTGAGCACAGCGACGACGGCGAGAGCGCAACGCCGATGGCTAGACGACGATGGAGATGGATAAAAATGTGACTCGTCACGACAGTGGCAGGCAGAGATGAGGGACACACATTTTTGGGGTTTTCTCCGGGAAATACTTGGCTGCAACCTAGGTAGCAGCCAGCTCCTGCTACCCCTCCGCGTGTTATCTCCTCATTGGTCATTTTCTTTTGTTTTCTTTCACCGTCAAAAAGCTTTAGAAGTTAGAACCCATTTAATATTCTTATTAAAGGGTAATGCTATTGATCCATGATGATTCATTTACTTAATTATGAATAATTTATTTTTACATCCTATGTAAAGTAGTTTGTAAGCAAATGTGGTTCTTCTGTGCCGTGATAGATATGCAGTCTGAAGAAACAACATTATTATCTACGTATGGATGGGGACCAAATGTGTGGGAATTGGGATAGATTTGTTAGAGAACATTCAGGTTTGTCCCGATGACCTGCTCCCTTTACTTATCCATTATTTCATAAATCAATCGGTACCAATAATTCAAATGGTTAGAAAAAGTTAGTTATAAATTTTATACCACTTTCTAACATGTCACCTCAAACAAAAGTCGGGAGAATGTTAATTATGGATCTTATACCATTATCTAACACGGTGACACCAACGAAAGCTAACTCACGAGCTAAGTTTACATAGACTCGCCATATATTATACTTTAATCAAGGGTTAATGTTGGAGGTCATGAAAATTCGAACACAACCACTTGACCAAACTAATTCTGATATCATATCATAAACCAGTTGATCTCACTAACTCGAATTATTAAAAAAAATTAATTATAAATGTTATATCACTATCTAACACACTAATTTGTCAAAATTTTGTTTCTTTATTGGGTGGACTTGGGTGATTATGTTCAGCGCTGCGGGACTCTTACATCTTACTAGCTACTAGCATTAACCTTTAAAAATGAAAATTAAACGAAAATTCAAATGGGTTCTCAAGCTTTCGGACAGTGAAAAAAAAATAAAATAAAAAATGCGCCAATGGGGAGATAACGTGTGGACGGGTAGCAGGGGCGGGCTGCTCCCTAGGACTAGGTTGCCGCTAAGTATTACCCGTTTTCTCCATCTTCTTCATCTGATAGAGGGGAGAGAGAATGATAATATATATATATATATATATATATATATATATGGTGCCTTCTACTGTACCCCGAGTGAAATCCGGGGTACCGCATACCTTGAGTATGAAAACGATATCTAGACCTCGAATTAGCAGGATTTTTCGGTCTGATACTATACCCTAACCCTTAATGAGTGAACCCTAGGTCCTAATTATCTAAATCATAATCTATAAACCCTAAGATGGTGCATTCCTTTTTGTGCCTATATTTGGATGAATCATAACCATCGATTATTGTTTCTAATTCAATTGATCATGGAGTATAAGATTGGGAGAATTAAGACCTAGATTTTGATCTTTAAGGGCTAGAGTATAGTATCATGTCCGAAAGATCGGTCAATTCAAGGTCTAGATAGTGTTTTCATACTCAAGGTATGCAATACCCTGGATTTTACCCAGGGTACCATAGAACTCACCATATATATATATATATATATATATGGTGATGTCTTCGGTGCACCCACTTTTTTGGGTGCACTAAATGCACTCACTCTTCTGTTTAATCTTATCCATTGATTGCATCTAACGGTTATGATAATTTGATGAATTTATAATTAATTATTAACTATATTATATTTATTAAAAGAATTTAAACATATTAATAATTGCATTAGACCCCAAACCCTCTTCTTCCCCGATTCTTTCTCCCTCTTCCACCGTCGATTAATTCCAGTTGCCTGGCATCGTCGTCCTCCACCACTAATCCATCCCAGCGCACCAATCCAGCCGTCGCCGCCCTGCAGAGAACAACTCTTCGTCAAATGTAGGTTCTCCCGTCACTCGGCGATTCGTCTTGGGTTTCTGATTGCTCCACTCGAATTCTGAAAAAGGAAATACCTTCTACAACAGAACGATCTCTCCAAACCTTCTCCCTTAAGCCCGCAACAAATCCAATTGCTACTCTGTTTCCGGTAAACTTTCAGCAGGGGAATCACTCCATCGCCGTCGCACTTTGGCTAGCTGTCCGACTCAGCTTCTTGCTACACGAACTCGTTGTTGGCGTTAGAGTTCATAGAAATTGGAATTAAGAATTTGTTTATTGGCTTAGCTGGATTAAATGAGACCAAGAGCTTCAATGGCTTTGTAAAACGCACGGGCTTAACTGTTAAGCCAGAGGTCGGTTACCAAATTTAAGAAACCCATAAACCATTTTTTCAGTGCATACTAGTAAGGTTGACAAATCAAGCACTCTTGCTTTAAAATTTGTTTCAGGTTACATGGGTAGGCCTTTAGTTCAATTTCTTGTCGATCGCGATCCGTTTGCGGCAATCCAATTCTTTATCATGCTTTCTCTTCATCTGTGGTCCCCGTCTCCAATGGCCACTCTGTACCTCCGACAGCAGCACAATTCCATAACGCAACGGACAAATCCATTTCAATTTAATCTTCTGTTGTTTGTCCAAGGTGTATAAATCAATTTAGGTAAGGTTTCATGATTCTTTTCGGTCATTCCGATAGGATGTTGCTCTGCATTCTTCGACTTGTCGTCTCAACTCCCGCCATTCCCGTCGGCGCCGGCCACTTTGGAGCTTCGCTCCTCGTCCAGTTCATCAATCAACAAGCAGACTTCAATTATGTATAAGGGATTATTGGATCGGTGACACGGCGCGGAAGTAATCTAACTGCGACATCGAGTTGATGTTGGAGGAACAATTTCATCGACGGCCCAATTCCTCTTATGGGAAGAACGGAGAGATTATGCGGCATATAAAAAAATGACAAAATTTATTTGTCTTTTATTTTCTCTCGGTTGAATTAGGGACCTCAGATGCAATTATAAATAAGCGTATTATTTTAATAAATAGAATTACTTTGTTTATTTTTGATTAATTATTTATTTGTCAAATTATTTTCAACCGTTAGATATATTGGAGGGTCAAGATTAAACAAAAAAGTGGGTGCGTTCAGTGCACCCAAAAAAGTGGGTGCACCGAAGTGGCCACCATATATATATATATATATATATATATATATATATATATATATATATATTTCTGTTGAAAAGTAAAGGGATAGAGAAGAAACCAACTGCTCAAGTAGCTAATATTTACGAAATGTCTCTCTTGATAAATTAATAAAAAGTATTATTAGTGATTTAACTGACTCCATCCCCCATCCTTCATTTGCTCGTGTCTCACACTCTCTTCCTCTCTCTTGCTTTTTTCCCTTCTTCATAAATCTTCACTCTCTCTAACTAACGGAAAATAAGAAATTCACATAGAAAAGGAAAGAGACCATGTACAAGATCATTTGACTCATTAATTATTAAAATTCCATATTGATGTGACTCTAACAAACAATGATTTCGTTGAAGCATGAAGAGAGGAGGGATACAATGTTGCTTTTTTGGGGTTTTCTAAATCTCCTTTACAGTCTCTTCCTCTCTCTTGCTTTTTTCCTTCTTCATAAATCTCCTCCTCTCTCTCTCTAACAACGGAAAATAAGAAATTCATAGAGAAAAAGAAAGAAACCATGTACAAGATGATATGACTCATTAATTAATAAAAATCTATATTGATGTGATTTTAAAAAATAGTGATTTTGTTGCACCAAGCAGAGATGAGGGACCCAATATTGCTTTTTTGGGGGTTTTCTCCATCCTTTTCATCTGATAGAGGGGAGAGAGAATAAGAAAATAGATTTGTTGGCTGAAAAGGAAAGAGATATAGAAGGAACCAGCCGCTAAAATGACTAATATTTACGAAATGATTCTCTTTGTTTTGTTTTTTTTTTTATTTTTGACAAAATATAATCTTTATATTGATCCAAAAGAAGAAGATACACCCTGGAAATCAGCCAGGTCTGAAAATCAAAGAAACGACTCATGGTCGGGTACAGAGAAAGGGCTTTCCTAGCCACCAGATGGGCTACCCTATTGCTACGCCGACCTATGAACCGAATACTAAGCCCCGAATGGATATGAAAATACTGTACAATCTCCTCAAGAACAGCACCCATTCGACTATCACTATGGTCACCTGTATTAATCTTGTCAATGATAACTTTGGCATCCCCCTCAAACCTAATATCCGTGAACCCTAACCCCAGACACCAAGCTACAGCCTCCCTGAGCGCAAGGAGCTCTACCAACAGGGGGTTGTCTATGCCAGGAAACTGAAAACTTCTGACCATATTGACCCCCCATTAGGGTTGAACAGAACCACCCCCCTGCAGAATGAGAACAACTCCTCGTGGCACCGTCCCAGAGACAGACCATCCGAGGAGGATCCGTAGGGAGTTGCTGTCCAAGCTCAGTCTGGGGGCATGCATGCCGCGATCTCTGGGCAGTCTCACCCATTCCTCATATTGCTGGACAAACTGGCGCATCAGCACTGGGATCCCGAATTGTTTGCCTTCAAAGATCACCCAATTCCGAGATCGCCAAATCCTCCAGAGAATAGCTACCAGCGCCATAAACATCGAGGGTTGATTAATCAGAGCCAAGAGCCTCTTAAGAAACAGCGGAAAAGTTTGACGAGGCAACCCCTCCCCCAGATACTCCAGGCTCGAGTAATCCCATAAGGCCCGCGCTACGGGACAGTAAAGAAAGAGGTGTTCCATCGTTTCAGAGCTATCCCAGCACACCGGGCAACGGGGATTTACCTGGACCTTACGATCGATGAGGGCTTCAGTAGTAGGTAATACTCGAGAAAGGATCTGCCAAACAAACACCTTCAGCTTAGGAGGGATATCCGCCTCCCATAGTCGAATCCAACTTTTTTTATCCATCGAGCTCACAGTCGATTTCCACCCTCCCCTCCTTTTGTCAAGCGTGACAGCCAGGTGATACACTGACTTGACCGTAAACACCCCATCTACTGTAGCATGCCAGATAAGTTTACCGTCAACATTCCGCCGTGGAAGGGGGATAGCTTTGATGGCTCTACAAGTTGGAGGATCAAACCAAAGGTTAAGTTTGTCATCACACCAACTGCCCTCCCCCAGCCGAATAAGCTCCGCTACAGTCGGACCATCCCCCTCAGGTAACACCAACGGGTTATACTGTATGGGATCCAGTTGCAACTGAGGAATCCAATTTGAATAAAGCATCGAGGCCGACTGACCATTCCCAATTTGCCAGTGCAAACCCCTTTCCAACAGTTGACGCCCAAAAAGGATGCTCTGCCAACCCCAAGAAGGCCGAGAGCGGGCCGTAGCATGAAGAAAAGTCCCAGTCGGGAAGTACTTCCCTTTGTAGACTTGGGCAAGAAGGGAATGCGGGTTCATCAAAATATGCCAGCCGATCTTGGCTAAGAGAGCCTGATTAAATTGCTCAAAACGGCGAAACCCCATTCCTCCCTCATGCTTACTCCTGCACATATTTCGCCAGGACACCCAGCGAATCTTCAAATGATCCTCCGTTACCCCCCACCAAAACCTGGCCACATGCTTATCCAAAGTACGACACAGAGACACCGGAAGTTTAAAGCAGGACATCACATGAAATGGCAACGCCAGAGCAATGGACTTGATCAAAGTTTCTTTTGCTGCCCAAGATAAAGTCCGTTGCTTCCAGCCCTTTAGGCGTTCTAATAACTTTTCCTCCAAATACCGGAAAGTAGCCATCTTGGACCGTGCAAAGAGGGTGGGCAAACCCAAATACTTATCATGAACCCCCACCGCCCCGACCCCCAAAACCGCCGCCAGGAATTCTTGATCAGGCAGAGTAATGTTCTTGCTAAAGCAAATTGCCGATTTCTCCAAATTCACCTGCTGGCCGCTCAATTCCTCGTATTCATTTAATACCACAATTAGATTCTCACATTCTTGGAGGGTCCCCCTTAGAAACAGATAAGAATCATCGGCAAAAAATAAATGAGAAATTCGGGGAGCCCGCGGAGCCACTTTCACACCCTGAAGTCTCTTTTCCTCAATCGCCTTGCGAAGGAGAGCCGTGAACCCCTCTGTGCAAATCACAAATAAAAGCGGGGACAAAGGGTCTCCTTGGCGTAGCCCTCGGGAGGGTGTGAAGTACCCTGCGGGGGAGCCATTCATAAGCACAGAGAAAGAAGACGACCGAAGGCACTCATGAATCCATCCTTGCCAGACAGAGTTAAAGCCCATTTTGTTCAAAACCGCAAGCAGGAAGGGCCATTCGACTCTATCATAGGCCTTTTCCATGTCAACCTTCAAAGCCATGAACCCTTTCTTACCTCGCGTTTTGATCTTCAAATAATGCATTAACTCGTGACCAAGGAGGATATTATCGATGATCTGTCGGTCACGGATGAAGGCATTTTGACCTTCCGATATGATAAACGGAAGGATCTTAGCCAGCCTTTCAGACATGATTTTGGTTATAATTTTATAAACAATTTGGCACAGACTGATGGGCCGCAACTGCCTTATGCTCTCCACATTATCCACTTTAGGGATCAAGGTAAGCCAAGTATGATTAAAACTTCTGAGCATCCGACTAGTAGTGAAGAAGGAACAGACCGCCTCAGTCACTGAATCACCCACAATGTCCCAGTAGGCCATAAAAAATTTACCCGTAAATCCGTCCGATCCCGGAGCTTTCTTTAAGCCCATAGAAAACACTGTTTTTCCGAACCTCACTGGGTGGACCTCAGATGTCAAGGTCGCATTCATGGCTGGAGTAACACTGGGAAGAATAGGCAGAGAATCTACCCTGGCGGCCATATTAGGGATATGAGACTCAGACCAAAGAGCCCCTGGTAAAAGTTTGTAGCTATGGCAGCTTTCCCTGGTCCTCAGTGACCCAGTCCCCATTATAATTGCGGAGGCCAGCAACAAAATTTCTTTTCCTACGAGTCCGGGTAACAGTATGAAAGTAAGCAGAATTTTGATCCCCCTTCTTTAACCAACAGACTCTAGATTTTTGCTTCCAATAGATTTCCTCAGCCTCCCATTGTCGATTTAACTCAATCTCCAGATTTCTAACCATATCCCAATCAATTGGGTGGATAGATTTAATCCTCTCAATCTCAGCCTGGAGAGTTCTAATGTTTCTCAGGGAATTAGTAGTCCCCGCCCTACTCCAGTCATACAGGAGATGGCGAAGCCTTTTGAGACGTTCCCAAAGGCGGAACATAGGGGTTCCCTGGACTTCTTCCTGCCAGACATAAGTTACCATGGCCCTGACTTCCGGATTATCCGCCCACCGGGCATCAAAGCGAAAAAGGGGACGATTATTACGCACATAGGCTTTATCAGACACGAGGATGGCCCGATGATCCGACCCCTGGTCCGTGAAATGTTTAACTAAAGTATCAGGGAATCGGTCAATCCAAGCTTGAGAGCAGACTGCCCGATCCAGACGTTCACGAATACAGGCACTACCCATTCGCCTGTTTGACCAAGTGAATTGATCACCCTGATACCCCGGATCATGGAGACCCAAGTCCTGAATAAAGTCTCTAAGGCCAATAGATTGGCTAGCATTCCAAGGCAGGCCACCATTCTTTTCGCCCGCACAAAGGGTGGTGTTAAAATCTCCTAGAAAAACATAAGGATGATGGAAATCGTCACAAATCTCACGCAACTGAGCTAATTGAGTAGCTCTCAGCAATAAATTGCAGTTAATGTAGACGAAAAACACAATATAAGAGAAGTCCACTTCATTAATTGAACTCAAATACAAAAATTGGAATGAAAAAATACCGAAGCATGAACTTTGAGGGACCAAGCAACAACTAATCCACCAGATGCCTCAACTGCATCGACGAAGAAACAACGAGAAAAATCAAAGCCTAACCCCCGCATACGGCGAGTGACTACTCTCCGGCTCGATCGTGTCTCAGAAAAGAACACGAGATCCGGTTTATTCGAACGAATTAAACCTACAGCAGTTTGGAATGTGAGGGATGGTCCAATTCCTCTCACATTCCAGGCAAGAAGCCTCATTGATCGGGGTGGGGCCATTCTCGGCTGGCTACCTCCACCGTTTCCAGGTCATCCTTATCCTCCACAAATAATTTCTTCGGTGATGGGAGATCGGCAATACCTCCTTCTACTTCCTCTATTCGACGTTTCTTGCCCTCATCACCAGATTCACAAAAATTGGAACCATATTCGTTCCAGCCACTATCATGAAGACCACTGTCATTGAACATTTCCTTCTCCGCGACCGTCTTGTCCATGGTTCGAGGGACCAACACCTCTTGAGCATTAGGCGGCTCGCTCAGCGACAGCCCAGCCTCAAAGGCTTGCACAGCCTGGCGCACATGGGAAGAACGAGCCAGCCGATCAGCCTGCCCCTTCACCCGCGGATCTTGACGGCGGATCTCGAAGGGATGGTCCTCCGATTCTGATAAAGAATCCGCCCGCTCCAGCCCCTCAGTAGTTGCATCAGCTAGCTGTGGGCCTAAGTTCTCCGCTTGAGACAGCATACCCGCTGCCAAAACCTTGCCCACTTTGTCTGGTTTGCGAGAACGAGCAACCCCTGGGTTTTTGGAGCTAGCGGATTTCTCAGTTTTTGGCCGCGGTTTACGTTGCTGCTGAATCTTACGCCCAATTCTCTTAGGCGAGAAATCCCCCATCAAAGTAACCCCTTTTCCCTTTTTAGGAGTAGGGACCCGCAAGGGAACAGAAGCAGCGCAGCGCCAGTCAGGCTGGCTGTCTCAGCCACCTTAGCAACCTGAATAGCACAATTCAGCGGGCATGTTGGCGCCGGACTGGGGATTTTACTCTTGGTAAAATCATCTTCTGACTCCTCTTCCAGGAGAAGACGGCGTCGGCGAGTCAATTGCACCTCTCCGTCCATTGCCGGCAGCACAGGGGGATTGTTGTCACAAGCTTTCTCAAGCTTGCCTCGCCGACTCAGCCTCCCTATCCGGAGTTTGGGGGTTTTCGCGATCTGGACTCGGGGCGGACTCCTCTCTTGCTCCTACCGCGGTTCTGTCGTCAAGAAAGGTTGGGTGGATGAACCCATCCACAACGGACTCTCTGTCACCACCGACCTCGAACTCAGCCCAGTGTCCCGCCTGTTCATATTCACCGAGGGTTTTTGCAGCCGAGCCTCTCGGCGTTCTTGAGCAGTAGTGTTAACCCACACGGAATTGGGTCTGCCCTTAAAGGACGGCACTCCTTCTTCCTCCTCAAAAACCTTCCTTCCCAGCTTCTTGGTCGACATGTGATGACCGAAGCGTTCTTGTCTCGTGGGAGGATCGAAGGAGCAGGTCTGGCGGGAGTGTCCAACACGGCCACACTTATAGCAGAACGTGGGCAGGTATTCGTACTTCAGCCGAATCCAGAAGTCGCCCGTTTCTTCATTGGATGCCAAAACTTGAGACCGAAGGGGCTTGGAGAAGTCGATCAGGGCTTTGATCTTTATAAATCTGCGCCCCGACTCACAGCAAAAGTAAACTCCCGCCTCCAACACTCGACCAAGCGTGGCAGTAGCCATTGTCCGCCCAAACCGTTGAGTACAACAATCCTCATGGATATCCCACATCTGTACCTTGAATGGGGCAACAGCAAGCTCGTCAAAGGTACGTTGCGTGATGGTGGGAACCCAAGGCTGGAGGTGTAAAATTTTGTCGGCAATTACCCAAGGCGATTGCTTGAGCACCCACTGTTTGGCAGCTTCATTAGGGAGCACAAATTCAAACAGGCCGTGAGAAACCAGCCGCACCTTGATTCGGCCTTGACCTTGCCATGGCTTGTTAATTGCATCACGGAGTTCAGCGGTCATGGTTCTGCTATCAGTAAACAGGCGGCCAATGAGAGTCCTTGAATTGCGAATCCTGGCCGACTGGACCTCATCAAGGGAAAAGTGAAACACCTGGTCATTGGTGAAGCTAGTCATACTGTGAACCTGGGAAACAATCACGTTACCACAATTAAGATTCAATGACACAGCAAAGTGCTCAACAATGGACCAAGGGAAACAGGAGACAACGAGAGGGATCCTGCGAACATGGCTTCATTGCTCCCAAAGCACACAGAATATTTCTGAGAGGGATTGCTCAAACGTACCGGAGAAGAGCTTATGATTCCATTGGGTGGAAGTCCTGCGTAACCCTTCCAGCTGGATATCTCGACACTGAGTGAGAGATACTGGGTAGCGGGTACAATTTAAAGGATCGGCAAAGCCAAAAGAACCCAAAGGCAGTTGTTGTTCAACTGAATAAAGGACTCTATGAGATTTGGGATTGGAATTATCTGAATCACCAAGCCGTTGCACGGCAGGTAGGATTGGAAAATCCATAAGACCATCGCGCAAACCTCGGGATAGGGAGATCCCTTCAAGATTCAGTTTGTTAGAAGGAGCACGCGTTTTCACAATACGCTTCATCGGCCTCGGACAACAGAACATCGCCGGCCGGAATAGAGGAGAACTTCCGGTCACATTTTTCTCAACGAGCTTCTCAGGAGACCTTGCCCCATCTCGGGGTCTAAGGACAATCTTGCGCGCTGCATCAAGGAAGCTTCCCTTCTCCTTTGGTTTCTTCGCCAGGCCAGACAGGGGAGTAGGAGCATCCCCTTTCTCACTTTCTAAATCGGCAGACGATGGAAGATGGAATCGCCACATCGGGATCCTTAAGCACCGCCGCCGTTTACTTTGGGGGTAATCGCAGTCCAGTCCCAGCATCGAGGACGACGCAATTTTGCGTTTCTGGACCCCCGAATCCTGACGGCAGCCACGATGGAGGTTCCTCCCGCGGCCGCTCTTACGCTTCATCTCCTCGGCCATTAACCGGGGGAGCGCATCCTGCCGGGAACCCTTCTCAACTTGGGAGCTCCAGCGGCAGGTCTTCAAACCCTAATTAGCTAGGGAAGCAACAAGCATCCTGCTGAGAGTGACGGTGATGATTTGGCCGGCCATTCGACAAAGGGTGAATAGAGGCCGGAGAGCGATCGCCCAGATGATTTCGAGGAGAGAGGAGAGAGCTCCTCTCATTTTTTTTTTTGGTAAAAAATAGTTGTAGAGAATTCATTAAGGTTAGAGGAAATGCTTCTCTTTGTTAATTAATAAAAATTGTTATTATTGATTTGACTTATTCGGTTATTCCCTCCCCATGCTTCCTTCTCTCACATCTTGCTCTCTTACTCTCTCTTTCCTTTTCTTCCTTCTTCATAAAACTCCCCATCTCTCTCAAACTAATGGAAAATAAAAAAATTCACTAAGAAAAGGAAAGAAGATATGTTCAGGATGATTTGACTCATTAATTAATAAAAAATCTCTATTGATGTGACTCTAATAATTTTTTGCTTGTTCTTATATATAGGGTTCACTCATTAAGGGTTAGAGTATAGTATCAGACCCAAAAATCTTGCTAATTTGTGGTTTAGATAGTGTTTTTATACACAAGGTATGCGGCACCCCCGATTTCGATGTACCACATACCTTGAGTGTGAAAACGCTATCCGGACCTTGAATTGACTGATATTTCATACATGAAATTATACTCCAACCCTTAAAGATTAAAATATAGGTCTTTATTCTCTAAATTTTATGCCCCAAGATCTATTTAATTAGAAACAATAATCGATGGTTATGATTCGTCCAAATATATGCAGAAAATGAATGCAACGTAACATCTTAGAGTTTATAGTTTATGATTTGGATAATTAGGATCTAGGGTTCACTCATTAAGTGTTAGAGTATAGTATCATACCCAAAAATCCTGCTAATTTGATGTCTAGATAGTGTTTTCATACACAGGTATGCAATCTCTAGAAGTCGCCATATAATAATAATAATAATAATAATAATAATAATAATAATAATAATAATAATAATAATAATAATAATAATAATAATAATAATAATAATAATAACTTTGGGTGGTAGTTTACCCTCCAGTAATTGTAGTTTACCCTCCAGTATTCCGTAGTCTCCATATACCCAACTATGATTTTGATTTTGCTCTCTCTGTCAATGTCGTGTACTTCAATTGTTATAGTAGTATCCAATGCAGTCAAAGTCTAGTTTTTATGTAAAAGTTAAATGATGGGTAAACACGAAATCGAATCGTAAACTTTTAAATATTCTATAAATTTGATATAAATTTTCTAACCATAACTGTTATTTTTTTTAAAATATAAACAAAGTGAAATAGCTCATATATTAAAAGATCACTCTCTCTCACCCATAAACTAAATTAATAGACTTTTAAGCAAACATTCACAAACTTCCTCCTACTTTCGAAAAAAAATATATATGAGAAGATGAACCATCAGTAAGTGATGAAGTTATAAGGGTTCTAGAAATGCTTCACTAATAAGTGAAAGTGCGGCAAACGATAGGCTAAAGGAGACGAGCTTTGCGACAACATAATCATATGGTGAGAGTTGTAGGAGTGAGAAAGGACACTAACAACATGAATTTGTAAGCGGTGTGTGCTTGTTTTGGATGCAGAGAAAAGAAGAGAATAGAGAAGAAGTTACAGTGAATTAGGGATGAGAAATTGTAGAAGGAAAGAATGAAAGGATTAACAGACTATAGAATGAGTAAAATTTCCTCGTTTTTTCTCTTTTGGCAAAAAAATGGAACAAAACTCGACCCAATATGGTAGGGTGTGCAATGGTTTGTCCTAGAGCAGACTACATCGGACCAAACCAACATTGGTACCGGATTAAATCGATCGAATATAATGCGATCTGGTCATGATCTTTTGAATTTCATAAATATGGATGGAGCCTGATCGATATTTGGATTGGACCAAACTTGACCAAATGCAATGACATGGTCCTAATTTTTTTTATACTTTTTGACCGCGGTTCTCAAGGTTTTGTCTGGTCTGGTTTGAAATAAACCATTGCATACCCCTAGAATGTTATCATATCCCCATATATAAAAAACCCTAGAAAAGTGATTTAAAAGCTGGCTTCTAGACTCTTACTTCGAATTTTGGGGCAAAAAGCTTTTTGAACAAAATCTACAATAGTTGGGGGAGTTAAGCGTTAAAGTGTAGGTTTTTAGACTTTAAAGATAACTTTTGACTAAATTGATAGTATCATATGTTTACTTAATTGTGTTGGCTATGTTAATCTTCAAGATGACATTCCTATTGTGTTTGATTTTTCTCTTGATTGCTCTACGTTGTCATGGTTTCCATGTTCCGATCATGAATACATCGATTTTGTCTGACAAGCGGCGTTTTGGGTTGTGGGTTAGTAAGTTGGGTTGTTCCATCTACCATGCTTTTCTCATGGTTCGGCTAGTACTATTTGGCCAGGCATTGATGACCTGGTGTTGCTTTCGGTAAACACTATGCAAGTACAACCAATTATTTTATTATGTCACTTTTAGTTTTTCATGATGCTAAGGTGTCTAGTCTAACACAAGAGTTTTTTACTATGGAGTTTTGCGATTATTGTCAAACTTTGGTGCGATGATTTCAGGAGGTAGAGGTGGCTCATGGAATGAGATTCGGTGACAACCCCTTTCATCCTAGTGGCTCATGGATTTGGTGGTGTGATTTTAGAGGAGTTTGGTTGCCAGTATCTGCTCATTTTATTTTCTCTTATACTTTTACTTCTCGCAGGTAAAGCAATGCTGCTTATTTAGTGGCTTAATAGGTTATTTCATCGGAAATTCGACTATTTGTTGACTATGGAGTTTGGTATTTGATTGTTCTTTGACTATCTATCTTAAACCACTATCTATGTAAAAAACAAAAAAAAATCCATGGTTGGCTTTAAGGATCAAGGCACGACCATCTTCCTCCTTGGGACGCATTAATATAATAAGCCTCGAGACTTCTTCCTGAATGGACCTTCTTTTCCCTCGAAGAAATATGGAAATGAAGGGGAAAATTTTCCCCACATTTGAACAGTATAATTTCCCTCCCCATTCTCAATTTGTAATTACCGCATTTGACACCCTCTAATTTTCTTTCCTTTCCGTATTTGCAATTTTTCTACCAATTCGAGTTTCTCTCCGCATCAACAATTCCCTCATTCATTCTTTCTTTCTCCGTTTTAGCTCAAAACCCAGCATCTTCTAATCCCCAATTTCAATGGCATCCTGCTCAAATCCTTGTTTGAAAATTTATCGATCATCTCCATTTGCAGTTTTCTCTCCTCTTTCTAATCTCCCCGCTCTATTTTTATACTTCTATAATCATCCAACTTCTCTTTTATGTTGATTGCAGATGAACCATGAGTTGTTTCTGCTTCTACTTTGAAACATCTAGGGTTTTGATTGGATGAACCCAGATTATTAGTTTGTCATGAGATTGGGTTACTAACCTCCTTTTCTCCTCACAATGAGATATTGGTTCAGGTGGTAATGGAGAGTGGTGGTGAAGCGATGGACGATCATTGTCCTAGATGGGTGCCAGTAAAAAAGGTGTTGCATTTACCATTTCCTTTGTTTTAAAATCCAAACCAGAGAAGGTTTGGACTAGATTTTTTATTCTTAAATTAATTTCTCTCAAGTATTGTCTCTTAATAGTTATTACATGATTATATTTTTCTCAAAGTAAAAAACTATCAAATATTTTTCTTAGTAATTTACTTGCTTTATAAAATTAATTTTCACCGCACTTCGTCATTTTGTGTGATTTTAAATATTTTATCACCTTAACTATGCTTGTTTTGAGAAAATATCCTCCTTTGATCTGTGTTGTGTTCATGAAAAAAATTAGGATGATTCCTAAAAGATCTTTGTTGGGGACAGAACATAATTCGTGAATGTCTTGTGAAGCGGTAGTAGACATAGTAATTGTTGTCACTTGGTGCTCCTGGTTTCTGCTTAATTTGCACGAATATGGTCAAAGTTCGAAATTTGTAGATTCAGCTTAGTTCCTTTCTTCATTTAGATTCTCTTTATCTTTAATCCATTGCATTAAGGGGTTTGGAAGCTTTTGCTTTTTTAATGATAGAGGGTTTGAAAGTTTGTCCTAATCGTGAACGTTGATCATGGTGTTAAGTGGTTCCTTGATCATGTGCTTTTGAACTTTTTCCATCTTTCTTGTATTCTCTCTCCTCACTCTCACTTCTTCTCTTTTGCCATTATGATTGTTGTTTATTTCATCTACCAAAGTAGTTGGTCTCCCTTGCTGATGATGAGTTTGCAGAAGTTCTTTAGTTCTATCATCTTTAGCATTGTACATAGTTGAAAATTTAAACTATTTCACAGTTTTTTTTTTTTTGCGGAGAAGCAATTTGAAGGTTTACCATCCCCCTTCTGACCCTTTCGCTGTGTTTTTCTCCTCCCAGAAGCATAGAAGTGGCTCAAAGTTCTCGGTTCAGAGTTGGGCTGGAGGATTTTCAGGAAAGAATGGCTCTTGTTATCAGCTTCCTATGTCTTCTGTGGGTGAAAAATTTTCAAATTTGGCAGGGAAAGATAGATCTGAGCTTTCAAAAGGTGCAAAGAATTATGCATATGTGCCGAATACAGATGACAATGTTATAGCCAATTTTGAGAAACCACCTAATTTGGAAAAAACCAAAGAAAATGGAAGTCCCCCTAAGCTTGTAGAATCACATGTTTTCCAGAACAGTGTTGTGGCCGAGGATAATTTGGAAGTTCAACAAAAGGATGGGACTGAAACCGTTCCCAAGATCAGGTCTGGTGATATTGATGATGGTCACATGTTGGTATTGTATCCTGAAGGTATGCATGAAGGAAATGTAAAATCTTCGGACAGTGAGAATAGCAGTTTGGTGAATATGAACGACGAATCTGGTGTTGAGGTGAACTTTCAGGTCCCTGTATTGGTCCATGAGGTGGATGATTCAGGAATTCAAGAGTTACCAGATATCAGCGAAGTGTCATCTCTTAGTTCAAGTGATTGTGTGTCCTTTTATACTGAGAAGAGTGACAACGGAATCTCTGGAGAAGATCGTAATCAGTTTAAGCTTGAACCTTATGAAGAAAATGCATCCGAGCTTTCTACATCTCTTTCAGAAAAATTGGAGTCGCCCTTTGTCTTGGAAGGTAACAAGCCAATAATTCCTAACTCATCGTCTATAATAGAAGAAACAGGCATGATTACTCAACTACAATTTCCTTCGCTTCTTGCTTCTGAGGAAAAGCAGACAGAGGTTAATGTATCCCTCGTTGAAGAATCATGTGTGGAAGTTGAATGTCACTCTCCTGTTGTCTCTGTAGGAAATGAGCTGGAAAAGGAGCTAGAAGTTTCCGAGTCACAAGTAAAACTACATGAATCAGACATGTTGCCTCTCAACTTTAAAGAAGATGAATCTAGGATTGATGAGTCGCTAATTACAGATGAAAAATTAGGTATTGTAGTTGGCCATAAGTTGCCTCTTACCTATGAAAGAAATGAGTCAATATCCACAAATGAGTCAAGAATATCCAAATCAGTTTTTTTGGATGAACATAATTTAACATCCCTTTCTGAAGTTAATGAGTCCATAACTTCTGTTCCACCAGTAACAGTGGTTGATCCACAATTGCTTCTCATTTCAAAAGGAGATGAGTTGAGAGTTCTCCCGTCACCGGATACCGCTGAAAAATTAGGTGTGGTAGTTGAGCCTCAGCTGTCTGAAGAATATGAGTTGAGAGCTGAGCCACCTATTGTAGTTAAAAAATCAGAAGTTATGGTTGAGTCTCCATTGCTGCTTACCTCCAAAGAAGCAGACTTCATAATACCTGAATTATCTACTACACTTGAAAAATCAGGAACGAAGATTGAACCTTCATCACCTTTAGTTCATGAAGAAAATGAGTTGAGAGTTCCTAAATCACCTGTTACACTTGGGGAAGTAGATCTTGTTGAATCTCATTTCCCGTCTATCTCTAACAAAAGTTATTTGAGAGTTGCTGAGTCCCCTATTGCCATTGAAAAGACAGATTTTGTGGCTCAATCTGAAATACCTCTTATCTCTAAAGATAAAGAGTTTAGAGTTTCTGAGTCATCTATTACCATTGATAAATGTAGAACTATGGTTGAACCATCAATGCCTCTAAACTTCAAAGAAAATAGTGTTTCTGAAGTTAATGAGTCAAGAATTTCTATTCCACAAGTTATGGTGGCTGACCCAGAGTTGCTTCTCAAGTATAAAGGAAATGACCTGAGAGCTCTCCAATTTCCAAGTACTATTGAAAAATTAGGCGTGGTAGTTGAGCCTCAGGTGCCCCAAGAATATGAGTCAAGAGATGAGTCACCTATTGTTAAAATATCTGAAAATATGGTTGAGTCTCCATTGCATCATACCTCCAAAGAAGCAGACTTCAGAGTTACTGAATTGATTGCTAACCTTGAAAAATCAAGAAAAGAGATTGAACCTTCATCACCTCTAGTCCATGAAGAAATCGAGTCGAGAGTTCCTGAACCACTTGTTACAATTGAGAAAGCAAATTTGGCTGTTGAATCTCACTTTCTTTTTGTCTCCGGAGAAAACGATTTGAGAGTTGTTGGGTCCCCAGTTGGCATTGGACAAGTAGATATTGTGGCTGAATCTGAATTACCCCTTATCTCCAAAGAAAAAGAGTTCAAAGTTTCTGAGTCACCTGTTACAATTGAGAGATTGGGAACTATGGTTGAACCTTCTTTTCTTCCAAGCTTCAAAGAAAATGAGTCACGAGTTACTAAAGTTAATGAGTCTAGAAATTCTGTTTCACCAGTTACGGTGGTTGATCCACAATATCTTCTCATGTCTCAAGCAAATGAGTTGAGCGTTCTCCAAAATCAAGGTACTGTTGAAAAATTAGACGTGGTAGTTAAGCCTCAGATGCCCCAAGAATATGATTCGAGATTCGAGTCACGTGTTGTTCAAAAATCAGAAAATATGGTTGAGTCTCTGTTGCCTCTTACCTCCAAAGAAGTAGACTATAGAGTTACTGAAGTGTCTGCTACACTAGAAAACTCAAGAACAGATATTGAAACTTCATCACCTCTAGTTCCTGAAGAAACTGAGTTGAGAGTTCCTGAATCACCTATTACAATTGAGAAAGCAAATTTTGCTGTTGAATCTCAGTTCCCTTTTGTCTCTAGAGAAAATGATTTGAGAGTTGTTGAGTCTCCTGTTGACATTGGAAAGGGTGATATTGTGACTGAATTTGAACTACCTCTTACCTCTGAAGAAAAAGAGTTCAGAGTTTCTGAGCCTCCTGTCACAATTGAGAGATCGGGAACTATGGTTGAACTTTCTTTGCCTGTAAGCTTCAAAGAAAATGAGTCAAGTGTTTACGAAGTTAATGGTTCCATAAATTCTGTTTCACCATTTACGGCGGCTGACACACAATATCTTATCATGCATAAAGGAAATGAGTTCAGAGATCTGCGGTTTCCAGGTACTGTTGACAAATTAGGCATGGTAGTTGAGCCTCAGGTGCCTAGAGAACATGAGTTGAAAGCTAAGTCACCTGTTGCAGTTAAGAAAGAACAAATTATGGTTGAGCCTACATTGTCTCTTACCGCTGAAGAAGCAAATTTCAAATTTTCTGAATTGTCTGCTACACTTGAAAAGTCGGGAATAGATATTGAACCTCCATCACCTCTAGTCCTCGAAGCAGTCGAGTCGAGAGTTCCTGAATCACATGTTACAATGGAGAATACAGATATGGTTTTTAAATCTCATTTTCCTTTCGTATCCAGAGGAAATGATTTGAGAGTTTTTGAGTCCCCAGTTGCCATTGGAAAGGCTGATATTGTGACGGAATCTAAGTTACCTCTTATCTCCCAAGAAAAAGAGTTCAAAGTTTACGAGTCACCTGTTAAAGTTGAGAAATTAGGAACTGTGGGTGAATCTTCTTTGTCTATAAGCTTCAAAGAAAACAAGTCAATAGTTTCTGAAGTTAATGAGTCCAGAATTTATGTTTCACCAGGAATGATGGTCGACTCACATTCTCTTCTCATGTCTAAGGGAAATGAATCAAGAGTTCTCCAGTCGTCATGTACTATTGAAAAATTAGACATGGTAATTGAGCCTTATGTTCCCGAAGAATATGAGTTGAGAGCTAAGCCACTTACCGAAATTAAAAAAGCAGAAATTATGGTTGAGTCTCCATTGTCTCTTACATCCATAGAAGGAGACTTTAGAGTTGTTGAATTGTCTGCTACAATTGAAAAGTCAAGAACAGAGATTGAACCGCCATCACCACTAGTCCCCGAAGAAAATGAGTCGAGATTTCTTGAATCACCTTTTACAGTTGAGAAAGCAGATCTGGCTTTTGATTCTCATAATCCATTAGTCTCCAGGGAAAATGATTTGAGAATTGTTGAGTCCCCGGTTTCCATTAGAAAGGAAAATATTATTGATGCGTTTGAGTTACCTCTCATCTCTGAAGAAAAAGAGTTTAGAGTTTCTAAGCCACCTGTTACAATTTTGAAATCAGAAACTATGGTTGAACCTTCCTTTCCTCTAAGCTTGGAAGAAAATGAGTCAAGAGTTTTTAATGAACCTATAACAACTGAGAAAGCAGACATGATGGTTAAATCTGGGTCCCCTCTTCCGTCCAATGAAAATGTTTTAGAAGATCCCATGTCATCAGTTACAACTGAAAAATCAGACCTTATGGTTGAATCTCAGTTGCCTATTTTCTCCAAGGAAAACTATTCAAGAGCTTCAGATTTTCCGTTTAGGGTTGAGAAATTGGACACACTAGTTGGATCTCAGTTGCCTCTTATCTCTGAAGAGAAAAAATCTAGAGCTTCCGAGTCTCCGGTTATAATTCAGAAATCATACATTGTGATTGAATCTCAGTTGCCTCTCACCTCCAAAGAAAATGAGTTGAAATTTTACAAATCTCCTATTACAATGGAAAAACTAGATATGTTTGCTGAATCTCACGTACCTCTGATCTCCAAAGACAATAATTCAAGAGCTCTGGAGCCACTACGTACGGTTGAATTATCAGACATTGTTTCTGGATCTCAGTTTCCACTTATGTGTGAGGAAAATAAGTTGAGTGTTTCAAAATCACAGGTTTCGTTTGCTAAATCCGACGTATTGTTTGAATCTCATATTCCTCCAATCTCTAAAGAGAATGAGTTTAGAACGCGTGAGAGACCTGATATAATTGAGAAATCAGACATGGTGGTTGGATCTCGGTTGTCTTTAGTTTCCATAGAAAATGAGTCCAGAGTTTCCAAATCACATGTTACAGTTGAAAAATTAAATACAGAAACTGAATCTCAGTTGCCTTGGATCTCCAAAGAAAAAGAGTCAAGAATGTTGGAGTCAGAATTTTCAATTGACAAATCTAACAGAGTGGCGGAAACAGAGTTGTCGTTTACTTCCAAAGAAAATGCATCTAGAGATTCCGACTTGCAAATTATTATTACAAATCAAGAAGGAAAATCAAGAGTTCCTGAGGCACAAAATTCAAGCATGGTTGCCAAAGTCCAGACTAGCTTGTCTCTAACCACCAAGGGAAATGAATCAAGAGGTGCCGTGATGCCATTTGGAAAACCAGATGTGGTTGTTGAACCTCAAGTGCCCAATATTTTCAAAGAAAATGAGTCAGTAGTTTCCGATTTCCCATATAGAAGTGAAAGATCAGGCACCATGGTTGAGCCTCGGTCACATTGTTTGCCCCTTACTTATGAAGGAAATGAGTCCAGATATCATGACCCACTGCTTAGAGTTGGAACATCAAGCACATTGGCAACTCAAACGGAAACTGCATCATCTATACCCCAAAGGTGTGCGTCTGAAGTGTCTAAAGAGTACAATACAGTAGTGAAACTTAACTTTCCTTGTACTTCAGAAGAAAATGGGTTAAGGGAATCTCAAGTTTCCATTATAAATAAGTTTCCAAGTTCAGAAGTTCTTTCAAAAGACAGTAATTTGCTAACTTCGGAAAAAATTGGGCATGCAATTCCTTTAGTTTTATCTCAGAAAACTTCCGTTGGTAACATGGAGAGTTCAATTTATACACCGGTATCTGATGACTTGCAAAAAATCTACAATCAGAGTGATAAATCGGAAGGTGATGCAGGTGAAAGCAAAGAAAGATTTGGGGATAGACTTTGGGGTTTTCTGTTTGAGAATCTTAACAAGTCCGTAGATGAACTTTATCTTCTTTGCGGGCTAGAGTGTGACATAGATCAGATGAAAGAGGCTGTCCTTGTTCTTGAAGAGGCTGCATATGATTTTAATGAATTAACTGCATGGGTTCAGGAGTTTGACAAAGTGAAAAGGTCTTCTCAATCAGTAGATAGTGCAATGAGTGATTTAAGATTTGATCACCGTAGGCCTCATGCTCTCTCATGGGAGGTATGTAATTTAATCATTCTAACGTGAATGTAGAGTTTTTTATTTCTAGATATTCGATTTGTGAATAAATCAGTTAGAACTTTTCCTTTCACTTACAAGGTTACCACTGATGGTTAGTTCGGTAATGAGAACTTCCAAAGGCTTAACCTCATTTCGCTTCATATAAGTATTAGATTTATTTTTTTGTTTGTCTGCCAATCAGCTGCTTTTATTTCATTTTTGACTCATACAAAAATCATGTATCATTATATAATTTTGTCTTCGCACATGATGCACATGTGATTTCATATTCCTTAACGTCTTTTCCCCCTTTTTTCTGGAGGAAATCCCTCTTTGAAATTAATGGAATCTTCTTCTATATGCAGTTCCCTTATTTTCAGACCACACATAAGAGTGAGCATACATCATCTCATGTCCTCTGTCAACATTTCCATTGCATAATGTGGTAGACACCATGTTGATAAATTGGATGTTTCTCCTTATGCATCTACAGTATCTGTGACCCATTTAGTTGCGTTGTGGTGTCAACTTCATGGTTTTATTCATGTGAAACTAGCATAACTTTGCTTGGTAGCTTCATGGATTTTTTTTCGTTTCTTTGTTTCATTCAGTTTTTTTACGCGTTTGCGACCACATAATGCATAACCAAATTTTTTTTTATGAGTTTGCCATCTTATATTTATGAATCTTTTATGTGATTTTGTGATTAGTGTAGGTCAGGAGAATGGCAACTTCCTCTCACAGAGTTGATATACTACCTTCATCACTAGAGGCATTTAAAAAAATTCACCAAGAGAGAGCTGATATACTTACAACCAATACTTCAAAGAACCCGGCGCTTGGAGGCTCTAGTCATCATCATGTTGCAGCAGCTGAGCGACAAAAACCAGTGGTGAATAGTTTAAAGGAATCCCATGTTGGAGATTCCGTAATAAGAGTAGAACAAAGTAGATGCTTGGATGTTAAGAAGCAGAATGGTGATGACCAATTGAATAGGGAGTCAGCAAGTTGCAGCAAAGTCAATTTCATACAGAATGGTTATGACCATTTGAAATCCTTTTCTGGTCTCGACTCACATCAGGTAATGCACAAGCTGGACATTTCCGCCACTCTAGAGGCAAGAAAGACCAAAAGAGTTCATAAGGTGGAGAAGGTAGAAGCTAATGATCACCCAAAGAACCACACACATCCTTCTGAAAATGATAAAGACAGGAGGAACTCTATGACATTTAAGTCCATGGATGCTTGGAAAGAAAAGAGAAGATGGGCAGAAAGAATTCCATCTCCAGGTACAAACAGAAGGAAAAGTGCTGAGAGAGCACGGGTTTTACCCGACAGACTGATGTCACCAGAAAAGAAGAAGAGAACCGCCATTGACTGGAAGAAAGAAGCAGAAGAGAAGCATGAAAGGGCCAGAAGGATAAGAAATGAGTTGGAGAATGAACGTATTCAGAAGCTACAACGCTCCTCGGAGAAGCTCAATCGTGTGAATGAATGGCAGGCCGCACATAGCATAAAGCTGCAAGAGGAAATGCATGCTCGCCGCCAAACTAGTGAATCTAGGCATGAAGCTTATCTAGCACAAGTTGCAAGGAGAGCTGGTGACGAAAGTAGTAAAGTCAATGAAGTTCGGTTGATCACATCTCTAAATGAAGAGAATAAGAAGATCAAGTTGCGTCAAAAGCTTCATGATTCGGAGGTGAGGAGAGCTGAGAAGGTTCAGGTAAGAAAATCTAAACAAAAAGAGGGCATGGCTCGAGAGGAAGCTGTTTTAGAACGGAGAAAGCTTATTGAAGCTGAGAAAGTACAGCGTCTGGCTGACACGCAAAGGAGAAAGGAAGAAGCTCGGGTTAGAAGGGAAGAGGAGCGAAAAGCGTTAAGTGCAGTACGTGAAGCGAGAATAGTGGAGCAACTCAGAAAGCGAGAAGAAAGAGTAAAAGCACAACAAGAGGAAACTGAAATGTTGGCTCGGAAATTAGCTGAGAGATTGAAAGAAAGTGAGCAGCGTCGTAAGTTTCACCTGGACCAAATACGGGAGAGGGCTTCAATGGATTTCAGGGATCAATCTTCACCATTGCCGAGACGACCTGTGAGTAGAGATGGCCAAGAAAGGAGTAGCTCATCAACAAATAGTGGTGAAGATTCTGAAGAGCGTGATCCCACTTTAGGCCCACGTGGTCATGCTCTTGATCCTGGAAACACAATGCAACAAGATTTGCTCAAGAGACATATTAAGAAGATCCGTCAGAGGCTAATGGCTCAGAAATATGAGTTTATTGAGCCGCTGATTGGTTGTGAAAATTCTAGTTTTGGATATAGGACAGCCCTAGGAACTGCAAGGGCAAAACTTGGGCGGTGGATTCAAGAACTTCAAAGACTCCGTCAAGCAAGAAAAGAAGGGGCCTCAAGTATAGGTCTAACTATTGCTGATATGATCAAGGTAATTCTTCTTTACACTTTCTGCGAACATTGCAATAACCCGACTGCATAATCTAGTACTTACCTATTGCAAACAATTGGTCAACAAATACCAACACTAGCTAAATCTGACCATTAAGCATTTGGTTTGCTCAGTTACATCTTTCTGACATGACATACTGATTCTTTCTAGTCCCTTTAAAAATCCTGTTTATGGTCGACACTTCTCATGATGTATGGTTTGCTTATTGTGTAACAAGTGTCGCGGTCTTGTGAGATGAATGGTTGTGATTTTTATATAATTCTTACTTTATTGCTTTTTCTGGATCAGTTTATTGAAGGTCGGGACCCTGAGCTGCAGGCTTCTCGACAAGCTGGTCTGCTTGATTTTATTGCTTCAGCTCTCCCTGCATCTCATACTTCAAAACCTGAAGCTTGTCGAGTCACAGTGCACCTCTTAAAACTTTTGAGGGTAGTATTGTCCATGCCTACAAACAGGAGCTATTTTCTTGCTCAAAATCTTTTGCCTCCAATTGTCCCCATGCTATTTGCATCACTTGAGAACTACATAAAAGTTGTTGCATCATCAAATGTCCACGGTTGTGCTATTATATCATCAAACAAAGCATCAGTTGAAAACAAAGGACCAGTCTCTGAAGTACTTGACAATTTTTTATGGATTGTTGGAGCAATCATTAGTCATAACGCTGGGTCTGATGAACGAGAAGTTCAAATGCAAGATGGATTAGTTGAGTTATTAATTGCATACCAAATTATTCATAGACTTCGTGATCTCTTTGCACTCTATGACAACCCTCATGTTGAAGGATTGCCGTTTCCTTCTTCGATTCTTTTAGGTGTTCATCTATTGGTTGTTTTAACAGACAGAGCACGTAGAAGCAATTCAATTAATTGGGAATCTTCTCCAATTGGGATGATGCTAGATATTGGGAATCAAGAAGAAAAATTTGAAAAGACTTCTAACTTCAGGAATAATTCCTCAAATGAGATCTCAGGATGTGACAACACTCCACTATCCAGACTACAAGCAACTATAGTTGCACCTCCAGATCCACAAGTGCATAGATCATCTTATGTTGCTAAGAATGAGGATCCTGAATCAGTTTCTAAATATGGCGAAACAAGCCAAACTCACAGTTTATTTGACTTGAATGGTGTCCCTGTGAAGCTAACAAACATTACACGTGAAACGCATATTAACCAGGAAATGGTTGTGAAACAATTGGACATCATTGATGAAGAACAGAAGAGTAACAACTTAGTTAGCATGAATCAGGCTACAACTGATCTTCTTTCTGCAATATCCGAAACTGGGCTAGTCAGTCTTCCTTCTTTGTTTACATCTGTTCTGTTACAGACTAGCAATCGACCATTCTCTGAACAGGTAACTTCTCAGCATCATTTCTTTTTCTCATTTTGAGGCAATTATGTGACTAATCAATGATTTTAATACTGCCACTAGTCTAAGATTTCAAGTGAAATGAAACATCTATGTGACCATATGGCTATGAAAGGTGGTGGAAGTGGTCATGCTTATGCCAAAGTAGCAAACCACCTTTTCCTTTTCCCATTCTTATCTTGTCGAAAATAGATGATCTGTTAAAAAGTTCTTACTAAAAATGAACAACTTAACGATCGTTTGCTTGAGTCATTTGATACCAAATGATTCGTTTGCTAACGAAAAATGCACGAGTCTTTTAACTTATATGGAAGTTCCAAGTTACTTCATCAGTCATTTCCAAATGGTTCCTCTCCATGAGTCATTAAAAAAAAAAAATTGTCCTCGCCTCTTTTTCGTAAATCCACTTCTATCATCCCCTTTTTATGATTTGTTTCCCCTGTCATTGTTTCGTCTCTCTCTGAAATCCTCCCTCCCAAATTTCATATGCTACAAAGGGGGTCATCTATTTCACCGTTTCCACCAAGCTCTCTTCATTCTAGCTCCCCGTGTCACCTAAACTGCCGCCTTCAAGAATGAGTCACAACTCTCCATGTGCATCAAATCTATCTCACCGATCATCTACTTAGTGGCACATCTTTTCCATTAACAAAGCTCATCATTTGCAGGCATTTACCATGATTCTTTGTAATTAGCCACAATTTGGAACTTCTGGAGCAGTTACCTTCTATAAAGAACGTCAACATAAAAAATTAATTTAAAATTATAAAATAGTATTAAACATGGCTTGTACCCGAATAATATGTTTTATTGGTTGAAAAATAATTTTGTTTACTTGGTTGCTTTTATTAGAATACGAACTACCATAATAAAACATATAGATGTAAGGACAAAATGATATTGTACAAATTATACACACAAAAAAAAATTGTACAAAATTTAACAAACTACACATATATAAATGTCTGCATTCCCAAATTTCTTACATTTGAGCAAATGACTCATCCAAATTATCCCTTCGATGAGTTGTACAATTTTGCTTGTGCTAATTGTCGTATAAATAATTTATTTTCAGCTAGGTAGTTTCCGTTGAACATCAAGTTTGATACATGTCTCTGTTATCCTTTGTCCCTTGAAGGGCTCCTATGTCCTTCCATCTAATTTTGAAGAGGTGGCAACTGGTGTGCTCAAGGTTCTAAATAATTTGGCTCTTGTGGATATTTCTTTCATACAGAGAATGCTGGTGAGTATTTGCTTCTTAATTCTGGAATTTCCTATCAGCAATCATTAAGTTTCGTAGAATTAATTTATATGTATATATGCCATGTGACGTTTCACAGGCAATGCCCGACCTGAAAATGGAATTTTTCCACTTGATGAGCTTCCTTCTATCTCATTGTACCAGCAAATGGAGAGGAGCTACAGACCAGGTATATTTAGTTAATTATACTCGTAGCATCCTGGTTGGCATTCTTGTTTGAGAAAATTATGTTAGGGGGCTGATCTATGTGCTTGTTGCTTGCAGATCGGCTTGCTGCTTCTGGAATCTCTATTGCTTATAGGTTATTTTGCCTTGTTTCATCCGGAAAATCAAGCCGTCCTTCGCTGGGGTAAAAGTCCAACTATACTTCATAAGGTCGGTGAAATAAAATCATTATCCATGCTTTTGTTTGGTGGAAAGAAATCCTAATAATAACTCAATCATCTTGAATGCGAGACAGGTATGTGATCTGCCATTTGCATTCTTCAGTGACCCTGAGTTGATGCCGGTTTTAGCTGGTACACTGGTTGCTGCCTGCTATGGGTGTCAGCAGAACAAGAGCCTGGTGCAACAAGAAATGTGTGTCGATATGCTACTTTCCTTGATCAGGTCGTGCAACGGCAAACCCAATGCAACGACTGACAACCACCCACCGGCCGAGGATTGTAGCGAAAGTAGTAATCACGATTTCAAAAGTTCACCAGGGGGTTATGATAACCCACTAAAATCCAGTCGTAACCATGTTGTTAGACCGAGACCGAGCAGGTATTCTCTAGGGGGGAGAAGTAGTGTTGTTTCTGCAAGCAGCATAAGGACCGGGAAGCTGAGGAGAGCAGGAAAGACAGGTGAAGAAATGGGGTTGAAGCCGCAAAGTTTAGGAGCTCCTCCTGAAGCTTCCACAATGTTGCATTGCAGATTCTCGACTGCCTTCATTAACAAGGCAGAGGATTTCTTTACTTCAGCGGATGAAAATGTTTGATGTTTAACAAGGAAAAAAAGCATAATATACGGTATATGTTGCTTCAACGGATGCATATGGTTAACTGCACAAACAACAACAACTTTTCCTTTACTAAACAAAAGTAGACGGGGAAGCTTGAGATGGCAAAGCGTGGGAGCATATGCGGTTGAGAAAATAAGCTAGTCTTCCCTTTCAGAGCCTCAATGGAATATGAAGGATTCTCTGCCCTTGGACTGAGATGAACATGCATCTATGTTCTAGAGCTGCTGCGGTGTTGTTGTGTCATGACAGCAAAGCAAAGAGCTGCAATTTTGTAGAGCAATTTACCAAGGTTGATATAATAGGAAGCTGAGATAGCCAAGAGCAAGTACATTGTAACACGACTTTTCAGTAAGTGGAAAATGGAAATGGGTTTATTCAAATTTGAATCGTTGAAGTATTATGTTGTCCATCTAAAATATGGAGATTCTCCATATGAATATAGTTAGTTATTCTACCAAAAAAAAATATAGTTAGTTAAAAAATTCAAGACTTTTGAGAGATTGTAGGAATGAGTCTTGGCTCTTTTAAATTAGACATTAGCTAAAATGGCCCGCGCTCTGCGGCGGGTAAAAATAAAATTTTCGATCTATATATAATATAATTTCGAGAAACCAAAATGAAATGATAAGTGGATAACTTTGTATAATCTAGTTGTTCCAATTCCTTTCTTTAAAAGCCATTATAATTACGGCTGGAAAAACGGTTGCGGTTTCGCGGTTAAACCGATAATCGCACCGAAACCGCGTGGTTATTGGTTAACTGCAAACCGCATATTTTGCTTATTTTGCGGTCGCGGTTGGAGATATGGATTGTTTTGCTGTTTGGGTTTAACCGCAACCGAAATCGCAAATCCATATAACCGCAAGGCTAACTGCGAGATAGCCCCAGCCCAACCCAAAATTGACCCCCCAGCCCAACCCAAAGTAGACCCCCAACCCAGCATCCCAAACCCGACCCGGCCCCTCCCTCACTTCTCCCTTTTGCCGTCGTTTTGATTTGACGAAACGAAAGTCGAAAATCCATTTCCCTTCGACCCTTCCCATCTTCCTGCGGCGTCGTCAGATGCAGGGGCTTGATGGAAGTGAAAATAGACAAAACAGTAGCTGCTGTGTTTTTTTTCCATGTATTTTTGCGGTTAGTTCGCGGTTAGTTTGCTTTACCGCGGTTTCGTATACTGTTTCAGTTGTTGCGGTTTTTACAACCAGAAACCGCGGTTCACCGTTAACCGCGTTCTGTGGTTTTTGGTTAACCGCTAACCGTGAGGGACGCGGTCGCGGTTGGCTAATATGAGTGTTTTGCGGTTGCAGTTAACCGCAACCGCACCGTTTCCCACCCCTAATTATAATGCACCCTATAATCCATCCTATGGCTTGTAAAACAAACAATGAAAACATAATTAAGCGACTAAGTTACGCGAATTGGACACATTTAACTTATCTTATAGCAGAACACAAAAGACTATCATCCTAAACTGCTTTCGTCCCTCTTTTCAATACCACTTCAAAAAACTTTCAATCAATTGAACATAATCAACCTCATTTCCAAGCTATAAAACAGGGTTCTACACCTTCTAACTGAAGCTTGCTGTCCTAATATTTATATCTATAAGCATTTGGATGGCACTGGCTTTTATCAATTTAAGGATAACCTCTCTTGTATAAGTAAATCATTAACATGAGTGATGCATCATAAACGAGAAAATGCATCGGCTAATTTCAACCATTAATTCCTTCAGCAATGACAAAGTACCAATGGACGTCCATTGACAAACTTCAAGTAGAATATGTGCAATGAACTTCTGGTAATCATGATAGTCATGGTTCATAAAAAGAAGAATGTCCTGTAGTCGTGGAAACATGTATGCCAATTACAGTCTACAGATACACCATCAATTCATAAAATTGAACAAATATATTAATAGAGAGCTACCTTTGTAAATAATACAACACCACCAAACAGCTGGTTGATCAATATTGTACTTATTGTTACCTGGCTGAGTGGAATCGTCATTGTCTAGTTGGTGATCAACCATGATAGCTTGAGTAAGAAAAATAACCAATGGTGAGTACACCAATAGGATTGCAGCAGAAAATTGCTACATTGTCAAACTTCTGGCACATACTTTAAAACATTAAGAAGATTCCACATATCATTGGAAGATCTATGCTAACAGTTTCAACTAAAAGGCTGCAAACATCCAATCATAGAGAGAAAAAGAAAATTGTTGAGAAAAAAGAAAAAAATTGAATTGGTGGGATTGGAGGAGCAGGAGCAGCAGGTTTACAATTCCCATATGCTCGAGTAATAAATCAGTTTCCTCTAAAGAAACCTGCAGATACGCTAAATGCAAAAGTAACAACTACAAAGAACCTCAAAGTTTTCACAACCCTCCTTCTGAAACCCCACATTTGTATGTTAAATTCATTGAACATAAAGGGAGCATCGATATAGCGGGAATACATGGGAGATGTCAGGCCTGCAAACAGAGCTACATAGGGGACCGGTTATTGTAACAACACCCATTGTGTTGTTATTGTAACAACACTAGTCCCCAACCAATAGGAAGCTAGGATTGTGATGACTTTTTATTAAATGAGTTGACCTAGTGTAAAATCAAAGCAGGGGTATAATTGTCATTATGAAAAATCTATTTAAATAAAAAATAAAAAAAAATAAAATTTTTTTTTATTTTCTGTCCAAAAATTTGGTCGTCGGAATTCTGCCACCGGTCGCCGGAAAATGGGCGCCGGTCACCGGAATATGCTTTTTGTCGCCGGAATATGCTTACCGGAGTCGGAATATGCTTACCGGCGTCGGAATATGCTTACCGGCGTCGGAATCTAGTCACCGGGGCCGGAATATGCCTATCGGCGTCGGAATCTGCTCACTGACGGTCACCGGAGTTCGGTCAACGGTCTTCGTTGACCGGTCAACGGTCAACGACCACCGGATGTTATGGTCTGCATTGTGAGATTTATGGTTTGGTTTCTCATATTTTTTTATGCCTTTTATGGTTTGTTTTATTGTGTTTGTGGTTTGCATTGAGAAGTTTCTGGTTTGTTTTCAAAAACTTTGTGGTTTGCATTGTGAGGTTTCTGGTTTGTTTTAATATATTTGTGGTTTGCATTAGGACGTTTATGGTTTGCTTTTTTGGTTTGCGTTAACGTGTTTGTGGTTTGCATTAGGAGGTTTCTGGTGTGCTTTCGCAAATGTTGTGGTTTGCTTTTGTGAGGTTTGTGGTTTGTTTTAGGAGATTTGTGGTATGCATTAGGAGGTTTCTGGTTTGCATTACGAAGTTTCTGGTGTGCTTTCGAAACTTTTGTGGTTTGGTTTGCGAGGTTTCTGGTTTGTTTTGATATATTTGTGGTGTACATTAGGACGTTTTTGGTTTGTTTTATCGTGTTTGTGGTTTGTATTAGGGGGTTTCTGGTGTGCTTTAGAAATATTTCTGGTTTGTTTTACCGTGTTTCTGGTATATTTTAGACAATTTATAGTATGCATTAGGAGGTTTCTAGTATGCTTTCGAGATAATTGTGGTATGCTTTGTGAGGTTTGTTATTCTATCCGACGTTCTTACTAAATGAATGGAATTAGTAACAATAATTAGTAATGTGTATACTTACCATATTCGTATATATAATTACATAGTTCTCTCTTAATTAATTATGTTTTCACACATAATTAATTCCTGTCTCTCTAATTCATTTGCTTGTACGGAGGTGAGGACATGGACTGGATCATGAAATTCACCACAACAGCACAAGCAGTAGCTCGAGCAGCAAGAATCACCATTAGAACCCTAGCGAAGTCCTTCCGCCGTGAATCCACCACAAGGAAATCGATTCCGGCCAGCCCCGCATCACCTCCTCCGGCTCCTCGACCACAACCTCACCGCCCGCCGGGACATCAATTGAATTCCCACCGCCATCCGCCGCCACCGTCGCCGCCTGACGCAGGGCTCGCAAGTACTCCGATCTGGAATCCTCATCTGGTACCACGTAGACGTGGCGCCCGCCGGAGTGACGGCTGGCGACCGCGAGCCCGATGCTGGTCGCCACCGGCCCGCCGTGTGAATGAAGGAGCTAGCTAGCTGTACCGTTTTCAATGCAGCTCTGGTGAAAGGCGACGATTGCTTGGGCTTGTGAATGATGAAAGACGCCATAATTGCTGCCAATTTCGACTGCGGAAGACACAAACAATAGGGAAAGAAGAAAACTCAAAAAATTGAATGAGAAATTGTAATTTCTTGCTGGAGAAGCCCTTGACAAATTTTACCTCGTCTTATCCGACGAAGACGGCCGCGTGCCTCACCGCATCTTTGAAATCTTCGTTCTTGTCCCTGATTCTCGCCATTACTTTACCTATCAAACTCCACCGGAAAAGTCTGGCTTCTAGGCAACTTGGTCGACGGCCGCACGGAGAACGCTGGCGATTCGCCTCAGATCTGGCGGCGGGAAATTGAGCACCGCCATGCTGGGAGAAAGACAACCGTCGCGGGAGAATGGAATATAGATCTGGGACTGGGAGCAATTTATGTTGAAGAGGAAGAGAGCGCATGAGCCGAGAAAGTCACTTAATTTAATTTTTATTTTATTAATTTTGGGTCAATGTGACCCTTTTACCCTTGTTGTTATTATAACAACACATTCAGTGTTGTTATTGTATCCCATCCCGCTACATAGGCAGGAAAACGTGTCCCTTCTTCCATCAACGGGCTCTTTCATGGTGTGCTTTATGGCTTCCTTTGCGGTCTCCACCAGCGACCTAAAACAACCACCATGATCACAATCGGTAACCATTATGAGCTGAATCGAGATACAATGAGGGGAGTGAAGGGAGTTGTGGCAACGTACGCCCTAAATTAGGTTAAAAATCCTAGTTAGGGTTGTGAAGAGAGACGGTAAAAGAACCAAAGAGGGAAGGGGTATAAACAGAGCATTTGATTAAAGGGTCGACATCAAAAGGGAAGTACATCTGATATGAATCTCCCATGGCGGCTTCATGAGGTGCGGAAGCAAACTGGTCCATCAGGCAATTTCCCTTTCCAGATTCATCTTCCCCGTGAGCCCTTTGCCCTGCTTCTTGTTTCAATCCCATGTAGGCTTCAATTTTGCGGAGTTGAGGAAGCAAACTGGTCCGGTCCGACTCTCCCATGGCAGCTGCGATTTCATGGAGTCCCATGGAGAAGAAAGAATCAGTCTCACCCATGGCGGCTTCAATTTCACGGAGTTGAGGAATCAAACTGGCCCGACTATCCCATGACGGCTTCGATTTCGTGGAGTTGAGGAAGCAAACTGGTCGGGGAAGGTATATCGACGGTGGATCACGCTTCTCTCACTCCCAACTGTTTTCCCTTACAGATTCATCTTCAAAGGGAGAGTTAAACATGAGAGAGGAGAGAGGTTGCAGGGTGATTTGATTTGACGTAGAAGAATAGAGAGAAGAGGCACGACAATTTATGGGTTAAGATTTCAACGGCTGAGATTAACTTGATCAACGGCTGTGCTTAACCAGCCTAATGGGCTATTACATGGGTTTACAGTGGAACCGCTCACATCTGAGTCATAGTCCTTCGTGAACGGTATCCGCGAAAATTTCGTGATGAACAGTGACCCGATTTTTTTAAACTTGGGACTTAATAATTCTAATATTTTTAAATATTAATAGCAATTTGTTAGGAAAGAGATTTCCGTTGGCAAAAGGGAAAACATGAGCTTAGGATAGAGTCAGTAACCATTGGTTAGAGCATCCACATTGGTATTGCATTATCAATTGCAAAATGAAATGACATAGGTGTTTGCAATTGTAAAACCAATTGCATTGATGTGGCTACCAATTGCATATTTGCAAGCTTGCAAAAAATGCAATTCCATATGCAAGTCAAAAAAGCCTACAAAAATGAGGATTTTTTATTTTATTTTCTTTTCTTTTCTCATTTACTTAATTTTCAATAATTTAAACATAATATTTAATTACATTTGCAATTGCAAGTTAATTGCATTGATGTAGGTGAATAAAATGTGTGATGTGGATTGCACAAAATTTGAGTTGACAATAAAAAATACAAATGCAATTTCTTTTGCAATTGCATTGATGAAGATGCTCTTACTGACCTATCAGTAACTAAATCTGCACCTTTAGATCTAAGTGGGTCCAGAAAATTCAGATATATGGGTTGTCAATTAAAGGCGTTTTATTTTCCCTACTTTTATTAATCGGCTCTTATCTTCTTCGTTCTAACTCGGATTTCACTTTTTTTTGCACAGATGGAACGAGTTCGTTGTGCTCTACAAAATGAGATTAATTTTCAATATATTTCGAGAAACTTCTTTTTACCAACTACATACCATATGGTAACTTCTTCGTTTTTAAGTCATTTTTGAAAACGTTTGCTCAGAAAGAACGAGTTCATCATGATCTATTGGATCTATAAATTGCTGGGTGAAAAAAATATTGGATCAGAAATTACCATATTTTACCACTATAGTATGTGGGTGGTAACTTGTTGTAACTTGTAGTAAACAATGATGAAAGTCGTAAATGACAATTAGTATACTCCTACTATCATGTATTCCACCTTCTTAACATATTGGTATGTTCATACCATCATTGTACCCTTTCTTACCATATTGTATTAAATAGGAGCATACCATATAGTAATGACTGGTAAAATATTATTCAATTTTTTTTGTACTAAAAATATATCAAAGTGGATATCATTTTAAAGAGCACATTTAATCTGATTTATCTGAGCAAAAGAAAATTAAATTTTGACTTAAAACGAGAGAGAAATCGTGCGTTAAATATTAAAGGAGAATAGATAAAAGACTTTCTAGAAGAGAGAGTATACTGATGTCATGCTGATGTGCACATGTTACTCATGGATAGAGTGCATAATCATGGGTTATGCACTCATCAATAACTAAATATGGATCCTTCATTTAGAAAATCTAGATCTAAGAATGGAAAATTAAAGGGCATTTTCATTTTCCCTAGTCTTCTTAATCGGCTCATATCTTCTTCATTTTAACTCGGATTTTAATTTATTTTGCACAGATGGACCGAGTTCGTTGTGCTCCACAAAATGAGATACATTTTCAATATTTTTTGAGAAAAAAAAATTCTTGGCTATCGGTACCAACTGCATACCATATTGTATCTTCTTCATTTTTAAATCGTTTTTGAAAACGTTTGCATCGAATGAACGAGTTCATCATGATCTATTGGTTCTGCAAATTTCTGGGTGAACAAATTACATAACCAAAAAATACCACACAATACCATACAATACCACCCTGGTACGGGGTGGTATCTTGTGGTACACAATGTTAAAAGTCGTAAATGATAGTTAATATACTTCTACTATTATGTATTCAACCATCCTACAGTCTTGGTTTGTTCATACCACCATGGTACGCTTTTCAAACCATAGGTATGCTCTTATTTCAATACCAGTCAATACCATATGGTATAGACGGGTAAAAAATATCTCGATTTGTTTTTGTTCGAAAAATATATCAAAGTGGATATCATTTTGAAGAACACAATTAATCTAATCTAACTGTGTAAAAAAATTAAATTTCAACTTAAAACGAGTGAGAAATCGTCTGTCAAAGATTAAGAAGGGGAAGATTAAAGAATTTCCACGAGAGAGAGGGATGCTGATGTCATGCTGATTTGGACGGGTTACTCATGATTACTTACCATAAGGTTACTGACATGATCCGTTCATGAAAACAGGAGCTCTTTGGAGTTCTTTTTAGGTAAGGAGCCTTGAAAAGAATGTCTCGCAACTTTTTTTGAAGTAATGTTTCTAAGAATTGCATTACAATTTCATATTTCAAAGATTATTAAAAAATGAATTATTCAATATATATGAGACGTACACAATGACACTAGTATTGTGGCCGGCCGTTCGTCGGTTGGTGGTCTTTCGGTCGATTCGATAGAAAGTTTATTTTCTTGGGTATATATAATTTATTAGTCAAACCTTTTAACAGTTATAAATTATTAGTCAAATGCTACCGTAAAAGTCCATCTTTCAAAAAATAGTAATTCATATGTACTTTCAGACCCGGTAATCATTTTGCTTACCCAATTGCTCAACAAATAATACGGGGAATTCCTACAATATTTAGAAAAAAGATCAGTGTATATTTCATTACTTAAAATAAAATAGGCAATCACGTTATCAGTGAAGCAGCTAAAAATTCATCTAAAGTAGGTCAAATGTGAGAGGAACAAATGTAGCGTAAGTTTTAGGATATGTTCATGTTCTGAAAATTAATTCATCATGCAAATTATAAGGGATGTTAAGTTACCACAACGAAAAATCGTTGACAATTCCACAACTCATCTTATTTCTAAAGTGTTTCTTTACTTTGCTTATTGCAGTTAGTACTCTTTCAACACTTGCAATAACAACCGATAGCAACAAACATCCTTAAGTTTTGATTTTTTGTTTATATTAAACTCACTTACATAATATGTGAAATTTAAATTTAAATAGAGATTACAAAATATTAATTTCTATTAAGTTATCTACCATAATATGAAAATCTTGTATTAAATCTACACTCACATAAACAAAATTATTCTACATTTTTTGGACCAAGGTGGTGCAAATTACTCACCTTGGTCTCAAGTGGCTCCGTCACTACACGTAATATACATAACATAAATTACCTTGCAGACTTCCTTATGTAATCATTGTGAAAATACGTTACATAAGTCTTAACTAATGAACGGTATTTTCACTATTAATACTTCATTACGTAAACAGTTAAGCGACTATGAAAACCCAACGTGAACAAAGTTACAAATCAAGACACTAAATTAAGCTCTACTCGGAATAATGATATGAAGAATAAAGTTAGATTTGTTTTTGGATATAGATAAGTATTATAGAAGGCCCACACTTGATAACATACCGGGATTTATAAATTTGTGGTCCAATATTTGTTTTGTTAATTATGTGATGGAAATCATAATTGTAGAGCGGAGTTACTTTTAAATCCCGCCTAAAAGCACGGGCAGAGAGTAAAATGGTTACGTGGCAGTAGGGGTGGGCATTGGGTGGGTCGGGTGGATTTTGACCATAAAATGTACCCACCCGCGCTTAAACGGATTGATAAATTTTAACCCACCACCCACCCACATTTAGTCTCGGGTTGGGTCGGGCGGATGGTGGATGATGCGGGTGGGTTTGTGGGTTCACCCACATCACAATGTATATAATATAAAGGAGTCAACTTGACATGATAATAGGTGAAGAGAATCATCGAGGGAAACAAGAAGTTGAAATAGGGCGAAAAATGTTGAATTAGTTCTTAAATTGTATAGAAATTCTATTATGAAAGAGTTTTCTACAGATTGAGATGATTATTAGGTGCAAGGAACTAAGGAAAATAATTCCACAAAGGAAAGAGCGGTGATCTAGGCACAAGAATTAGAGGGAAAAGTAAAGGGAAGAAGAGGGGATCTCTATTTGGAAGGTTGCCTTTGAGGTTCAAACTCCAGGAGCAGTCCGAGTTTATATCTAACGTCTCCACTCTCATCTCTCTAGCGCCAACGACTTTGATCTTTTTGCTGTTGGGTTGAGCGGGTCACCCGCACACTCACCCACAACCCACCCACCACCCGGCGGATGGCTCCTAGCGCAACCCGTCACCCACCCACAGACCCACCCACTTAACGAAATTCGGGTCAAATGCGGGTGGGTCGGCCCAAACCCGCGGATGATCCGCCCGCATGCCCAGCCCTACGTGGCAGAACTGAAATAGAGTGAAGCGTGTAATGTATGTTTTAGATTTAGATTAGATGTAACTCATGTGTATTCGCTAATTCAAATGTCTTACATAGAGATTATTCAATGCTCTTTTTTTTTTGGTAATAATCGGGGCTCAGACGCCCCTAGCTCACTGATAAATGTATCTGGGAGTGGCACTCCCTACAAGATCGAACAAGATCCAGTGTTGCAACATCGGACTGGGAACCGTGACAATATGCACCCCCACCTGGAGGCTGTAGCCTGTCGATGCCAAGTAATCCGCCACCACGTTTCCCTCCCTGTACGTGTGCTCCACCCGAATCTCCCATTCTTGATTGATGAGTCGCCTTACCTGTGACACCAGCTGGAAGTGTGGGCTAGAAGTAGTGGCTGACGCGATCAGCTCGACCGCGCTCTTGGAATCCGACCGAAGGATTGCCTTTCTAACACCAAGGTCCCAAGCCACCTGCAATCCCTGTCGTATGCCCATCAGTTCCGCGCGAGTAATCGTACCTCCACCGATGTTCATCACAAAGCCACCAAGGAATCGCCCATGATCATCTCTCACCACGCCTCCCGCCGTCGCGCTCTGGGAGGCCAGTGCCACCGAACCATCCGTGTTGATACAGCACCACCCGGCCGGGGGGG